CCCCAAAACCCCAAAACCCCAAAACCCCAAAACCCCAAAACCCCAAAACCCCTTAAGCTGCATATATTTTTGAACTTTAAGATGAAATTCTCTCACCTAATTCAGTAATGTTACTTTCTTGGTAAGCTTGAATATAGTTCTCCTTGAAATTAATGATTACTGATTTCAGCCAGTTGATTAAGGTAGGGTCTTCATTTGTGTCAAAGATACCTTCCGCAATTCTCTTAAATTCTTCTTTACAATCATCGAATTCATTTGAGTAAAGCACATCTAGAGTCTTTGGGAAGGTCTTCATTGACTCTTCAAATATTAAAAATTTTAACTGATCAGTACAAAAGAACCTTTCGAACAAGACCTTAAGAGCGTCAAGGTAAATATCCTGATCACAGATTGCCACAAACAGGTATTCCTTCAACTTTTGGAATATCTTAAACCAACTATCATGGGTTTTGGGCTCCATCTGCTCCTCAGTGACGAACAAAATCAGCTCCATATGGCTGCTTTCCAGACTTTCAAGCTCGTTTTCAATAATGTAGTCAGCCAGTGCTCTTGCCATATTGACTCTATCAAGGAAGTCAGGGTTATTGCTAACCTTGTATTCATCAGAGTTAGCTGCTAAAGAGAGGTAGAATTCCTTTCTCAGCATATTTTCATCCTGGCCTAAAACAATCATCTTGTTCTCAGGGTCTAAACTCAAAAAGGTTTCTACATAAGGTCTGTACAGAACCTTATAGTCGTTCAAAACTGATTGGAGTGCATAGATTCCTAGCTTCTGCACACTTCTAGGCACATAAGGGTTGAAACAGGAGTTGATAATGTCCAAATTATCGCTTATGAGCTGCTTTGCATAGTTCCTATCAATGTTGAGATCCTTTCCAGGAGCAGATACGTTGATGCTCTGAGCTCCCTTATCACCACCAGAACCTTCGTCTTTGGATGTTTTTAATAAATAACTGTATTTTCTAAGGTATTGTAGCAGATTTCATGAAAAAAGTAATCATTGAGCTTTTACTTCCCAGTGGTCTGACTTGGCAAGTCCCTTGATCTTCTGTGTAACATCCAGAATTCCATCAGCATGATGACGGCAGATAGCATTGATTATCTTCAGTGAGAATATTCTAATCGTTGGCCTTGATCTACTCAAGCCGACAAGGGCTGAAAAATAGAAGGAGTCAAACCAGTCTTCGTTAAAGCTTTCTTCTTGATCTACTAGATAGTATAGCATCCTATACATAAAATCTTCATCTTTAATTTTTGTCTTAAGGTTTTGGACAACCTTAATTCTTAGAGATAAGTCGTGGGAAGAATGGGCATAGATAAGCTCAGCAACAGAGACTCTCTTTCCTATTTCAGTTTTAGCAATCTGCAAATATGCTTTGAGTAGGTGGAAGAGGAAGAAGCTCTGGAACTCCTCCTGAGGACTATCATTATCTTCTACAATTCTTCTTGCCATCAATTTAGCTAAGTTCATTGTTGCTGAAAAGGTTGGGGATAACTCATCAAGTCTCTTCAGCATTCATACGAAATATGTAAAAAGAGCTGTTAAATCATTTGCACTTTGATATAGAGTAGTAATTAAATTCTCAAGGTCTTCTTCCATATCTTGAATAAATCCTCAAGCAAACTCATCTGAAAATTTATGAATGTTGTCAAAAAAGGCTGTGACCATATCTCCCTCAACTCTAATAGCAGAGAATTCATTGTTCTCATCATTCTCATTCTTTGCCAAGATGATCTCATGAAGAATATCAGTGATTGTTTTCTTTACCTGTCTTTCTTCTCTCATTGTTTCTGGTGAAAGGATTCTGGAAGCTCCATCTCCTGCTGCTAAGAAATTCTGCGATCCATTGTGAGACATATTCATCTGACTCTGGATCTCAGAGCTCTGCATCTTGGCATTTTGCGAATGTAAAGAATTTAGGTCCTTGTGAGCCCTAATCTGAGCAACACTCTGATTAATAGCTTTAATCTGAATATCTTTGACTTCTACAGCTTTGTAAGAATCTAATTCTAAAGTTTGTGGAATAGTTCTCTGTGGGCCTTTTGTAATTGCAAGTGATTTCTGAGGGCTTCTTGAAGTACTCTCCTTCATAATTGAATGCTCCATCTTAGTGTCTTCTTGATCTGGCTCAAAGGCATCAATGTCATTCTTTGGAAGCTTGACCATTTCTCTTTCTTTCAACAGCAAACTTTGTTGTTCATTGCTATCAGTATCATACACTTTAATGGGTGGCATGAGTGCTCTCTCGGTTAAGAGGGTATAAACCTGTTTGACAAACTCAATGGTTGAATTATTCTCATTATTTATCAGCGAGTCAATATCCTTGATGACAATAGGCAACCCTCTTCGCTTAAAAAAGACCATAAGTTGTTGCCAGTTATCTCGTTTGCTTTTCAAGCCCTCTCCATAATCAAAGGAGAACATCTGAATGTCTGCTGGAAAGTATCTAGAGAATATCTCTGCAATTAGAAAGCCGTTGTTAAAAGCTCTCTTAGGATTCTTCACACTGAATGAGAGACTCAGACTCTGCACCCACTTGATAACTTCTCTTGGGAGACCAGACATAATTGTTAAAATCCTGAATATAATAATTCTATTTTGAAAAATAAAATTGGGGTTTTGGGGTTTTGGGGTTTTGGGGTTTTGGGGTTTTGGGGTTTTGGGG